TAAGTTGTTGGCCTTTTTGTTTTGATGATTGTTTGTAGAAAAAAATTGTAAAGAAGAGAATAAAGAAAATTGATTTGTATTCCTTTTGATCTCGATTACAACTTGATTACAAAAGAGAGGAGAACGAAATTGGTTCTTCCTCTTTGTTTAAAACTGGGTTCTTCACGGTGGCGATGGAGTGCCTCCCTCGAATGCTCGCGTCGAGTTTGCTCTCCGTTGACGATCCGCACGTCTTGATTCACTGGAACGATGTCTTCTCCTCACGATTTGACGTTGTGGAGAACTTGCGTGGCAAGTTTGAGAACTCAGAACGAGTTTAGAAGAACTCTGCAAAAGAGTTGATTTGAACCGAAGATCGGTTAATAAGCCAAGGCTAGAGGAAAGCTCTGGTGGTCGATCTTAGCTGAGAAACCCCCGAACCAAAAGAGAAGCCCCCGAACTGAATTGATCTTCAGTTATTTATAGAGGATTAAGGGGGTGAAACCGCCCCTTAAACCTCTCCTAAGTGGGGTGTAACCGCCCCCAAATCGTGGGAAACAGTTTTAGAACCGTTCAACTCGTGTTGAATGAGTCAAACGCCCACGTTGGCGTTCAGGACCCTAACCTCACGTCTTAGGATTGAGACGCGAGGTTGGGTGTTGGCTGAACATTGATGAACGCGAGGGTCGCTCGCGTTTTGGCTTGTTGTAGCTTGGAAACGCGGGGGTCGGTGTTGGTTGGACCCCTACGAACGCGAGGGTCGCTCACGTTTCGCCTGTTGTAACGCGGGAAGTAATCTCTTTTGTCATAGCGTTGCAAAGATCATTGTCTTGTAATCTTCGTCTTGGCTCCTTGAGAATATGAGAGTCGTCAGATTGTAACTCCCGATGTTGATTGTGAAGGCTGTTGAATTGGGGCTTTCATTAGTTGTTGTGAAGGTCGTCAGATTGTAACCTTCTACGTGAAAGTCCTCAAATTATGGCCTTCTAGAAGTCGTCATATTGTAACTTCCATCATCGGTGTTTGATGGGGGATAAGCTATCTATTGTGATTTTTAGACAGCCTACAGAACCCCCTCCAAAGTTTTCGAAAGTTCGCGGTTGACTGGGACGAATTTTCGGAATACTTTGGATCTCAACTCTGATCCTAGAGCTGTTGATTCCTTGTTGTAAAGGAGTCGTTCTCTGCACTCGCTTCGAAGGCATCTTGATTGAAGGGATTGGCCACGTAGGACCTTTGTGAAGGTATGCGTCATAATCCTGCTTCTGGAATGCGGGGGTGGACCCCTGCGTTTTGGACTTGAGACGCGGGGCTGATTTCGTTGTTTTGACTTGAGACATGGAAGTGGCTTCCGTGCATTTTTGACTAAGTCTTTAAAACTTGTCTTTAGCTTATCTGTTTCAAGTCTCGGCTCACGTCCATTAAGCTGATGGACCTTCAAACATACATAGGATTTTTGGCAAACCCTCAGCCATCGCGTCATGATTTTTGCAACGCGGGTCTGACCTCGGCGTTTTGAACTTGAGACGCGGGGTGTGACCTCAGCGTCGTGATTTTGAGACTTGTCTTTAGCTTATCTGTTTCAAGTCTCGGCTCACGTCCATTAAGTTGATGGGCCTTCAAACATAGGATTTTTGGCAAACCCTCAGCCATCAACGGATTTGATAAGCCTTTACCGACTACCGTTTGAGTCGGGCTAGCATGTGGATTGTCTAAGTCCGTTCCACATGTAACGTTGTGCTAGGAGAATGAACTCTCTTAGTCTTGATGCTATGATTTTGAATACATAGACTTTGTCATTTTCACGGAAAAAGACTAACCGGCAACGCGTGTTAGGCGTAGACTTATCTCTAATTAGGGATTGAGATAAAGTCCCCCATGCGTGAAGGCATGGATTTTTGGTGTCGTTTCTTCCTGTGTGGCTTGAAACACCGAAAGAAAGTTAGAAGTGCCAGAAGTATAGTATTAACTTTGGCATGAATTTTCACTTAAAGTGAAATTCAAAAATTTTCTTTATTATCACTAGGATAATTCTAGAAAATCTTTAATCCGCTGGGGATTTCATAATGAAAACTTGCTATTCTTGTTGAAAAAGGATTAACAAGTTCATTGAGGAGGGTTTGACTGTTAGAGGTGTGATGTTAACCTAACAGTATTTTATGGACTTATCGCTCTATTGAAGAGAGTCGATAAGTTGATTTGGTCGTCAGAGGTGTGATGTTAACTTGACTGGTTCGTGGACCTATCGCTCTATTGAAGAGAGTCGATAAGTTGATTGTTGCGATTGGAGAAACTTTGGGGACTTATCGTCCTATTGACGAGGATTGATAAGTGGATTGTCAGAGGTATAATATTAACATGACAGGATGATGTTGCGATTGGAGCAACTGTGTTGACTTATCATCCTATTGACGAGGATTGATAAGTGGATTGTCAGAGGTATAGTGTTAACGTGACAGGGGGATGTTGCGATTGGAGCAACTTTGGGGATTTATCATCCTATTGACGAGGATTGATAAGTGGATTGTCAGAGGTATAGTGTTAACGTGACAGGAGGATGTTGCGATTGGAGCAACTTTGTGGACTTATCATCCTATTGACGAGGATTGATAAGTGAATTTGTCAGAGGTATGATGTTAACATGACAGGGATGTGTTGCGATCGGAGCAACTTTGTGGACTTATCATCCTATTGACGAGGATTGATAAGTGGATTTTGTCAGAGGTTTCATGTTAACTTGACAGGAATATATTCTTGTTACTTGCACAAGATTTTAGGAATTAGCGTCTCGCTGGGGAGACTTGCTAGGTGAGTTTATCATCAGGAACAATGAGTTTTGATACCTGTGATTTGAATTTGATTTTGAAGACTTTGTGTCTTGCTTTTGATACCTGTGATTTGAATTTGATTTTGAAGACTTTGTGTCTTGCTGGGGAAGATTGCGATTTGAGAAATTTTGAGGACCTATCATCCTATTGGTAAGGATTGATAAGTTGACTGTCGGAGGTGTATGTTGTTAACGTGACAAATTGGGAGTAATGCGA